TGTTCATTATGGCCCCAGAAGCAAAAGGCTATGTATTCTGTCTATGTGGCTCTCTCTCTCCCTGACACACACACACAAATGTGTTTATGTATACATTTAGTAATGTAGGTATATCATGGGGGGCAGGTATGCAGAAGGCTCTACTATAAAGATTTATGTAACTGTGCTTTATGCTGTGTTCACACAAGGGAGTCACCTAAAAATACAGTTTTCAAAATGTATCTTGTTAAAAGATCCATGACTGTCACAACATCTTGACTTCAATACACAAAATATAATTGGATTATCAAAAATATTCTATATATATTCACTATCCCTAATCATGTCTCAAATACATAATGAAACAAAAATGACAATAGAGTTTAAACTAGGTAGTATTTATTAATAGTTGTAAAGTCCCTGAAATACATTAGAATTTTACAAATATAATGTAAGATCCATTAATAAACTCCATGCAGTTATAGTCAGGCTAATACTACATTTCAGGGCAAAAAAAATCACATTCAACAACAACGACAAAAAAACCCTTTAATAAATTAATCGGTTTCCCAAAAATTGTTGTGTGCTGTGAAGATAGATAATGGCAAGAAAGGAAGAGTAAAGAATTCACATAAGAAATAGTTGAATGGTCAACATGACAAGACTTTGCTAAAAAGAGGTAGAAGAATAAAAGACGTCGTGGTTCTACATAATGGGATAAAGACAAAACTGAAAAAAATTAGGATTTGGAGATATTACGAAGACAAAGGCAAAACTTCTTGTGGGCATTTTACACAGTATCAAGAAATGTGAGTAACAATGTCTACTAGTACAGTTGCGTGAATGCTAAGACAGCCCAAAGACCTTGACCATCCCATTCCTATCATCATGACTTGCTGTTGCATGGTATTAAGGATACTGTAGATTAATTAAAGTTCAAAACCAGTTGACCTTAAAATAGCAACTGTTCAGACGGACCTAACCTAATCACAGACTCCTCGACAAGCAGAAAGTTTCCTCTCTGGCAGCAGCAGGAGGTTCTGACCTCAGGGAGCTCTGGGTGCTGAGATGGACTGGCCCTGCAGGAGCAGAGAGAACTCCTTAGTCAACATCCAGGAAGACGACAGGACCGCCCCTACAACTGCAAGGAATGGAATTCTGCCAAGGATCAGCCCCTCTCAAGTGGATTCTATGCAGAAGGTTCACACAAGAGCTCAGCCTGGAAACAGAAGCCAGTGAAGCCCACTCCATCTTTTGACTTCAAAAACACTGATGGAATAAACTAGGGTTTTAAGCCATTAAATCTGAGGTTATCTGCTCCTTCAGCTATAGGAAACTGATGCAACTGCCACTAGGGCGACAAGGACATGCCAGTTTAAGACTCACTGCACTGACAGGACAAGAAAGAACTCTCCTGTGGAAAGTATACAATAAAACAAAGAAAAACATCTGAAAGGGCCTGAAGTGCTCTTTAAACTGTCCCTGTCATGCATGTATACTCATAGACGGCACATACTCCACCATTAGAAACATAAAACACCCTAACTGAATATAACCAGGCAAATATTCTCATCCACTCACAATTTATTCACTCACTTCCATAGGGCATTCTCACTCATGTCTGCCGTCTTTGGAGATCTGCTATTTCAATAATCTGAATAATTTATGTTTACCTGCCCAAATAAAAATATTTGCTTCACAAAAGACAAAAAAAAAATTACAAATAATTAAATTATCTCAAAAAGTTTGCGGTAAGTAGCTGAAAAAATGAGCTTTAATTTTTATCTTAAAACCAAGTTTCCTGGGTCACTATTACAGCTAATGCAGGCTTCCTTAATTTCCTACATGCTAACAAATGACTTTTTATCATAATTCTTATCAAAAACATTTTTCCTGTAATCTTTATGAAATTTTTCCCCTAAGCACTGTCTTACACTGGTATTTAATCAAAAGCTACAAAATCATTAATTACTCAAAAATTGGCATTGAGTAACAACCATTAATCAAACAAAAGACAACCTCATATGTGCATAATTAATAACTGTTTTCTCACTACATCAAAGACTATTGCCTTTCCACAAAATTTTAATCACTTTCCAACATATTCCCATCAACATAATTATATTTGAACACAAAAACAAAAATTTAGAAAACTAAGGCAGTTTTAAGGCTTCCCAAGTTACAACTTATTAGGATTTAGTAATTCAAAAAAATTCCAAGGAAATGAGCCACTCTTGCAACTAACACAGAATTCATTTTTGGAAAATCTTATGAGAACTGATGTAATTATTTAGCTTTTGAATGATTAAAAAAGAGACTTAAAGCAAAACTACACAGCTTTAACCAAACATCAAAGTTATCAAGCGCTTACCAGCACACCATCAACCACATACAGATGGGTTCTAGGACCCCGCCTGCGATTAAGCTGGCTGATCTCACAGAGACCACAGTAATGAAACGTGTCACACCAGAAGAAGCATTAAGAAAAGCCAAAGGCCTTTTCAAGTGTGGTTTTGTTTTCTTAAAACGGAAATGCACCTAACTTTAAAATCTTTAGTCACAGTAGAACAATTCTATTTTTCTTTCCCCATTGTCCCTTGCTACTATGTTAAGTGCCTTGGTGTAATTAATCACACTTCCCAGAACGAGACTCTGTTCACAGCTTCTTAGACACAAAACAACACACCACTAAGTTGCAGACTGGGTGACAACTAAAAGTTGATGAGCCTTCCATCTCTGACACTGCCTACTTTACAGACATGTAAGCTAGGGCTTGCAACTCCCTAAGGCATGGTAAGTGGGGAGCTTCCTGTTAAACAAACAAACAAAAAAAAGACATATTTATATGAAAGCCAGTTATGGGAGTGAGGGGAATCTTTCATTTGGCGACTCATTCCCCAGATGGCTGCAACAGCTAGGGCTAGGCCAGGCTGCAGCCAGGAGAGAGCTGCTTCATCCTGATCTCTCCCGTGGGTGTCAGTGGGCCAAACACTTGGGGCATTTTTACTGCTTCCTCTAGGTCATCAACTGGAAGCTGGATCAGAAGCAGAGCAGAGGGAACGACCAGCACCACCAATACAGGATGTCACCATGGCAGGTGCTAACTTTTCTTGCCACGCCACATCAGTCCTGCTGGGTAGCTTTTATAAGAATTACCAACCTGTAGCTGTTTCCCAAGCTAAATAACTTTGGATGGTGACCTACATAATTTTTATCAGAAGAGGGCAAATTAGACTCAAAATACTTTTTTTAACTTTTCTTAATATTATAAGTTTTCAATAACTTTTGGTGGTAGTATTATTCAAAATTTACTTTTATTTTTCTTAAAATGCTCTAAAGTTCCTAAGATATCTCTTAGGTAGGAAAAAATTCATTTACAACTCTCAGCATATAACTTTTGCAGCTACATTTTTTTTCCCCAGACAAAATTGGAACATGACTATGTATACATGTAAGGAAACACACACACACTTTGTAATGTAAAAAATGGACTATATGACTTAGAATGATTTCCTATAGAAGTTGGCAAGCCTGATTTTCTACAGGGATACAAATGTCCTGGTGTGGTTTAGATATATCCTGGACTCTAGATCCCATTTCAGGTCTTAGAAAAACAGAGACTAGGACAGTTCCTGTCTTGAATCCCACATCTAGGCCAGAGGGAACAGTTAGGAGTCTTTCTGCATTTGCCCATCCGTGTAATAAACGCCTTTTCTATTCATTCCCTCTAAGACACTCCTGTATTTTAGCTGTAGTTCATCACTCAGAAAAGTCGGCCACCATCTAAAACTGCCGCAGGTCAAGATTACTTATGTTGTTGCACAGGAAGCCAACAAATTCCCCAATCTTCATGGGTAATAATATTTTTTCTTATCCAGATAACATCAGTTTATCACAAAAAAAACTTGATAACAAAAGTCTTCGTGTCACGTTTAGAAACATGAGAATGTTTTAATTTTTTTAAAGGCTCCCTTTTCTTTCCTGCGCTCATCATTATAAAACAAGCCACAACAAATGAGAAGTGAGTCACAAGTCAGTATTGTCCTAAGCATGGAAGCACAGAAAGGATGAGGGTTTTCAGATCAAAGGTTACTAGACCATAGTCAATGTCAGTATCTGTTGGTATTGCTGACACTAGCAAAATAAAAATCAAAACAATAAATTATGTTTTACTGGTTAGGTGTGAATTTCAAGCCATATTTTTTAAAAAGCAAGTGTACCAAAAAAGATCTGTCTGCAAAACAGCTCGTGAGAAGAAGCGCTTACCAGGGTGTAACAACAACCAGATACGACAGATTCTGGTAAGAACTATATATTTTGAGCTGGTCCACTGCCGTCATTGAAGAAACCAAGGCAGAAAAAACTCAGTGCTCCCAAATAACAACTGCAAGCATGAGCCTAGAGCCCACACTTGAGAATTTACTCCAAGTGCCACTGTAAGCTTACAGAGTGCTCTGCCTACAGACACGCAGAGAGAAGTTAATACAATGTGGTCAGAGTCAGACACATGACCAAACCCATCAGTAGGCTAGCGGTTTGAGGGGAAGAATGAACCTGTGCTGGTAGTGACGAGGCGCGCAGCCTCCAGACCCACACGGCCTGGGTTCCGCTGCTGCGCTGCTGCTCACCAGCTCTGTGGCCCCAGACAAGTGATCTGAGGTTTGGATGCGCCCGGTTACCCGCCTACACAACGAAGACAGTGGCCGTGCCTTTGGACTCACCCTTCGCTAACTTCTTGGACTGCACCTACACCTCAGCAAGCCTCAGAACTGTCAACACGGCCTGCAAAGATCTCAATCTCAATATTCCAGAAAATGTGAAATGAGATTCCATTTTATTTCTGTTCTAACTTGTAGAATACTGAGAGGTTTCATTTCCCAGGCTTGCCTTTCACTGAAATGGGTACAATAAAGCCCGTCTGTGGAAGGGGTATACAGTTGAGACAACCTGCCAAAGTTCCTGTGAGCAGCCTTAGAAAACAAAATGTTTCACATATTTGCACCAGAGACCGTCAAACTTACTGTTCGGAGTCATAGTAGTCCATACGCTTCTTTTTCTTATTATAAGCTGCAACTCGGAAGGGAACTATTTCCAAGGTGATGAGGCCCGGGGCCATTGTCAGCACTTTGGCGCCGTGAGTTGGCTCATAAAGATCCTTCCCTGTTTCTGGATGAGGCATGCCAGCAGGGTCTCGTCCAACAATATAGAAATTCGCTCCTGCAACCATCCGTGCTCTGCAGTGCCACTGGACCTAGAGCAAAAGTAACCATGCTTCTGTGACACCAACTACTTACAAGTAGTAAACAAAAAACAAATGCAGATTTTTTAAATATAATTACTACTCTTCAGTAGGAAACCTCTCCAAATTGCTCCATTTCTGAAAGCCAGAAATAAAATTAGCAAAGTCAAACAAAAACACAAAATTCTGGATATACAAATGTAAATGGATGAAATGAACGATTAACATACTAAAAGTAAGTAAATGTACATTTGTGTATCTGACTTCACACAATAACCACAAGATCCGATCAAGTTACAGTTGGTCCACAAACGAAAGACCCACAGGGGTTCCCGGATGAAGGTACTGCTACGTCCCCAGTTCCGAATCTGGGTGCTGGTTAACCAATGCAGAATTTCACTGAACTGAATGAAGCACACTAACAATTTATGAACTTTCTCTATATCATACTTTACCAGGTGAAATAAAAGCCAAATGAAAATGACTTAAATTATACGAAAGGTCACACAAGCAGGTATGGAGAAAAGTCATGTCAGTGACTACTACTCAAGGATACCAGGTAAGAACAAAGCAAGAAGCTAGTTAGAGACAGACACGCCATGTCCATGTCTGGCCTTGACAGCTATACTTTCATATTAAAACCTTTTTCTTAAAAAAAAAGAAAAGAAAAGAAAAAACTAGCCAGGCTAACATTCAGAAGAGTGGAACTTTAGCACTTAAAGGGACACAAAGAGATTGTTTCCAGCTCAACATTCCCATTAAAATTTCAAGTCAAGTCCACATAAGTGAAGTGATTTGACCACAAAGTTTAGGACAAATCCTGGCCTAGTTTCCCTTCAGCATGAGGCTCTGCTACTTAATGATTTATAGAAGTATCATGGCTCTATGAAAACAAATGGTATAAATGATACATATAAACAATCAAAACATGTTTTTTCATTTTCTTTTTGATGATATACACATAAGTTTCTTTAATCAAGATAAAATTTGGGAAACTCAAATTGCCTGAGCTTGAATGGGTCACCCTGAGGGGTTTTAACTTTTTTGAGTTGTTCCTATTGGCATTCAGTATCATGTTTCTGAGCAGTCCACATAGACTGCTTTGTCTGGCCTCTTTAATTTTAGACAGCATGTAATGTTGCCATTATTTCCAGGCCATTTAGATTTCTGACGACAGATGACAATGGTCGGCTCTTTATACACTAGCCTGGTCCCCAGTGCCATTTACTCAGTCAACATTTTTAGTGGAATCAGTTTTCATAATCTTATCTCACAAAAGCTGTAAGAAAAATCAATAGATGGAATGTGTAAGGACTTAAATGTACCTAATCACAGTAAATACACAGCAAATGTTAGCCATTACTATCTTTATTATGTCATTCCCCTTTCTATCACTATTTATTTTTCCCACAGTTAATCATTTACCTTGATTTTTTTTTTCCCATGTGCTTAAGTTTTCCATAAGCCTGGGCTTTGTATGTACCTTGTTGTATCCTCCTTCACCTGTAATGTGTTGAATATCATTCCTAAACCCCCTTGCAGTATGGGCAACAGGTAGCTGAGCTGTGGCCAAAGACACACAGTGCCACCCCATTAAAACACCTCCCCGGCTCTGTGCTAGTTCTCTTTCCCAAAGTGTAACCACCACACCTTTTTCTGGCAGCTCTGCTGCTGCCTGCACTGAGCTCCCATCCTCCTGAATGAACAGAACAGCAAAGCGTGTGTTCCCTTTGTGGCCCCTGCCTGTTCTACCACTCACTCTCACATTCAGCTCTCATCAGGAAAATACTGGGCACTCCCCTGTGCCCTAGGAGGCAGACACACACAAGCTCTGCTAGTTTGACCTCAGAATTTTCATCAGCATGTCATTCAGAATTACATCACAAGTTAATCACTTGGCAACTTTACTTGAATGGAAAATCATTTCTGCCTCAGGCAAACTGGAAGCTGACTACATGGAGTTAAATCAAAAAGGCAGTCTAGGTTTCCTGAAGGTAATTGAACTTCATCTGCTCCTTAAGTGTTTATGTCTATCATTCAAGAAACAAAAAGGAAGTGAGCAAGGAACGGATGGCTTAATTTCAATGCAGAAGGGAGCTCAGATCATTTTCTCCAACCCCCTTTGCCCTTTTAAAATGACAGGAAACTGAACCCAGCAGAGGGAATCACCTCGCTGGGTCCTGGAGCATGTGGCAGCAGTGACCAGCTCTCATTTTGAGTCTTGCCGGCATTCTCCTGCAGATGACTTGAATTATTCCATTTTATACTTTGGTGAGAGGCTCTCCGTTGAGCATATTTTTACAATTTTAACAGACACAAACAAAACATATGTAACTCTTCCAAGAACGCATGTTTTGAGTCAATGCATAACCTACTGAAAAGTTAATATGCTCTGGTCTAGAGAATGCAAGCCAGCCTACAGTGAGGTGGAGTGGGTAAGTTAGCCTGTCCTAAAGCTGAATCCCAGCTTTGTCCCTTGTGGATGGAATATTCCTTCTACTAACATAATCTAACTCAGAAGGTTCAGAATGACAATACTCAACATATAAGGTGTTACCATCGTTTTGTGAGATAGCTCCTGAACTGAGTTAACTGCTTCTAAGCTAGAATTTCTAGAGAAAATTCATTCTTTCTCTGGAAAAGGCTGACATGCTACCTAGTAAGAGCTCCTTGGTCCATCTCCTCAGCAAGCTAAAGATGTATGACTTACCTTTCAAAGACCAGTGGCCAGCGTGGCATCTGGAACACTGAATGCATCCGGAAGGAAGAGCACAAGATGACTTCTCAAAGCTTATTAGAAAAGCTTCAAAGAGTCTTTAAACGGCCAACCTAATGAGACATGACTGATTTTCTACTTTTACTTGTATCTATGAACTAAATAGCAAATAACGTTGTCGTTTTCTGATTATAAAAGTAATTTAATTCATATGCCCAAGCACTGTGGGTTGCCTGTACAACAAATGACTTCTCTTGGCCTGGATCGCTCAATTCTTTGATGACAGGAATCTCCTCACTCTGTAAAGAATGAAAATGCCAGGTTTTTGCTTTCTCAGCCTTTCTTGCCACACAGCAATTAATGGAAATTCTACCGAAAGACTCGCCTCCCTAATGAAACTCTTTCAACTTTCATTTCTCAGAGAATGCCTCTATTTCATCTTTATTTTTAAAAGATACTTTGCTTTGGTACTCAATTCTAGACTACCACGTTGGTTTTTTCTTTTCTTTCAATTTCCTCTTAAAGTTGTCACTCCATTGCTTCTGCGCCCTACTGCTGGGGAAGCCAGCCCTTGTACCCACTGCTGCCCTGCAGGGGCACTTCCCTCTGGCTCTCCCCATCTGCCCCTCATCAGCCTGCAGCAGGCTGGCCACAGCACATCTGCCTGTGACTTTTCTTCAGATCTGTCCTTCCTGAGACTGCCTACACTTCTTCAATTCAGGGGGTGATGTCTTTCCCCAATTTCAGCCATTACTTTCTTCCAAGACATTTTCTGCTCCATTTGCACCCTCTCCCTTTCCCTTCGTCCTTTCAGAACTCTTAGTATACATATGAGAGGAGTTTAAAAAGTCTGGGAAAATGAAATTAAAAGTTTATGTTGGTTTTATTAAAAATTTCAAATCCGTGCAGTTTTTCCATGGTACACATTCCTAGGAACTCTCTGAGGAATCCTCATACACTAGAGACAGCATCACACAGGCCCCTTGCCGCTAAGACTCTGCTTCTTTTTTTCCCTAATTTTCTTGCCTTTTCCTTCTAGATAATCTTTTTTAATTTAACTTCCAGAATTATCTGCCTTTTCTCCTCTTAGTCTTCTAAATCTTATCTGCTTATTATTTTACACAGGACCCTTTTTTAGCCCTCCAACTTCCTTTCAATTCTTCTGATTTTTTTCTATTGTGGATTTTCTTTCTACAGGTACCTTCATTTAAGATGCTTTAAAGCTCTTATTGGCTAATTCCAACATCAGCATCATCTTTGTTAGCAGCAGATAATTTACTTCACATGATAAAACATACTCTCTTGCTCCTTCACATTTCTAACCACTTGTAATTATATACTGAGCCTGTGGGTACTTTATAGAGCCTGCAGTTTTCCTGTAGAATGAGAAGACTTTAATCCTAGCTGCAGCTAACTTCCTGGCACCTCTCTATCTTTCTGAGGCTTGATCATGGGCCTTGCTGGGAGGGTCCAGTCTATCTCTCCTCAAATCTATTGCCCATCACTCAAAAGTCATCCTTCAATACCTGCTCAAACATACTGAACTCTCAGCACACCCCCTTTCTGGAGAACACAATGCTAATTTACTCAGTACAGAGCATTTGAGAGACACTGTATGAAGAAGACAGCTTGGCTTTTTGGTGTCAGTAGCAGCTGTGTGGGGCTATCCGAGAGCACTCTGCTCCAGCAGCAAGCATCACGAGCTCAGGCCAAACCCAGTGACCACCTAGAAGCAGCATCCTCCCACCCCCACCCGGTGCACAACAGGCCCTGCAACCGCAGTGTCTGCCTTACTCACCTACCCATCAGTATGCATCGTCTATGCGCTGGAGGGCTGTCTCCCCTACTCAATCTGGCAGGTGCCACACCGAACACACCACCATTTAGCAACAAGCACACACCCAACCCCAAGACCCATCCTAAGCCCCAGATCATGGCGTTCCATGCTGTTACCTGTGAACCAGTTCTGCTCCAGGCAACCCAGAACTTCACCATCATCTCTTGAGAACTGTATCCCCACCTTCTTCAGGGCCATCAGAAATCAGGGGTGAGAAGGAGGAGGCTCATTGTTGAAGTCTGTGCTTCCGCTGGCAATCCCCTCATCCATAGGATTTCCTTCTAAGTTCACTTGACCTTCTGTAAGTCTGCCCCACTAGAGTTGAATAATTTTTAAAATTTCCCTGTCTCAAATTTTGTGTAGTCTCTACTTATAAGTTCCTCTGGAGTATGGTCTTTAACCCTAAGGCATGTTTCTCTGGCATCTTTGCCTAGGGTTTAACAAAATGTCCACTCTGGC